CCCACTGAACTGTGCCAAGGCCAGACGATTTTGTAGTTTCCGTGCGATCTGTCGAAGAGAGAGAGAGGGTTAGATTGACATGGCATAGCGTACGATGTCATGATGTCTGGACTTACTTTGCTGACTTCTGCTCGCTTGAGCACCTTATCCACCACCACTTCGGGTTGCTGTTTCCAGGGCGACGACATGATCTGCCGTTCGACCAGGTTGAGTGCGCGCGATGCGGGGGTCGTATGACTTGAAGAAAGAAATGAAGAGACCTGTCAAGTGGTTCGAGCGACTGGCTGTTCTGCGGTGCGTGTTCCGGTGCGAAAGAAGGACAGGGAGAGCTGATGATGGGATTGGCAGTCGTGAGCTGAAGTGAAGGGGGCTCGGCGGCTACTGGGTGGACGTAAGCGGGGGAGAAGGACAGGTGATCGGACAACTGTCGCAGAGCCTGGCGACCCTAGGAAGAAAAATGACTGGTTTCGATCGCTTCGCTGATCAATTGTATCGAGTTCTTCGTTGGCAGGTTGTTTTCTGAATGAGTGTAGGTGGTTTAGGAATCAGGAGTGGCCGTGTTGGAGAGGGCGTCGAGTCTTGAGGCGCAAAATGGTTGTCGAGGTAAGGAATGAAGAAACCACTTAAACTGGATTTCGGTACCTGAGTGCTGGTTGGCAGGGCAGACTGTGACTGACGAACAGCCGCAGGCACTGTGCTCTAAACGAACCGAGAGTCTGTGAGCACATGGGTACCTGCTCACCTACTGACTCTGGGTACAGATCTAAGGAGCACCGTATTCACTTTCCAGACATTCCTATCCGATTGATAGTGGAGTACCTTAGCGCTAAGGGATGTCATGACAGGAGAAGCACATAGCGACTACGGTCAATACAGGGATATCTGCAATCTACATGTACAGTCTGCAAGCTGCAAAAATGTAGAGAGAAGACTTGACTCTAGGTTCTTGACCTTTTCACGCACCGGCCCCTTCACGGATCGAGGAGCTCACCAAACCTAACGCATCGAAGTATTCTCTGATTAGCTTCACTAGTCCGTCAGCGATAATTATTCGATGTTGTATATGCTCTTAGCGGCCCCGGCTACGCCCCGCGAGCGACGGATCGATGGCGGGACATGCGTGGCTTGATGGCCTACCTGCTTAATGAGCTGCCAATTGGCTTCCTGCTTCTTGTGCCACCTGCGATCGCCCGTTCGCTCTATATCCGCTGACAACCTGACAACGACATGAACGCTCACATAAGGCAGAGCATGATGATGGAGCAACTCTCATGGCCGTCAGAGCCTTACAATGGAGTGGCAAGGGCGAAGCCGAAGAAAAAAACATATACCAGGTTCGGCAGGATCTGCATGCGCCGCTGTTCCTGAAGATGCTCGTATTGGCAGCTCCAAGCATGTCTTGTGTTGGGGTTGCGGGCTTCGGTCTGCGTGCTGCTACTGCACCTTACTCACGGTCCGAAGGTGCGTTGGGCGCTTTGGGTGTGCTGAGTGCAGCGATGGCCAGTCGTTACGCACTGATCGTCACCTGCCACAGATGCAGATGTCCCAAAACCATACCGTTTTTGCCTGGGCCTTTCCGATTGTGAAGCAGTTGCCGCATACACTACATGCAGATTCAGCGAGCTTAGCGTCAACATTACGAGGTGTGTCTCCCTGAGGTGGGGGCCTCATCCTACCTGACTGAGCAATTGAAGGTACCTAGACAGGTAGGGATCGGAGGAGATAGCACGGCCGGACCTTTCGGGAGGGGGAGAGCGAGAGGGAGCGAGCGACATGATCTGATGAGAAGTTAAGACGATTAAGCTGCCTACTTCTCGTTCCGACCTTCAGTATTCTGCTTCTTCCCCCCACCATCGTGACATTCCAAATTTGTGGCCCCTACGCTTGCGCTCCATGGTTTCACGGAGCAGCAACACTAACAGCTACACATCAAGGAACAGGCTCAACACTTCGGCAGGGGACGAGACCAGATAAACGCAAGCAGCGTCAACTCTCTGCTTCCCATCTCCACTCCCGCTCACACTCAACACAAGCCCTCCAGCCACCCATCCACCCATCCACCCTTGGGCCGTTCAACCCGCGTAGCCCGAACAGCACCTGCAGGCTATACTTGGCACCGATCCTGGCACTGGGCCTAGGTCTTGGTCTGGGATTAGAACCGGGACCTTGAAGTCTTGGATGGCCGGGGGGAAGAACAGAGACAGGAATCCTGATCTTGAATTGGGTCTCCCTCTATCCACAAGCCGGTCAAACAGCGCCGCACCGAACCACACCACCCACACCCCTCTCCTCGCTGGACAGCTCGGTTGGCTGGGCCTTGATACCAATTCGCCATCGCCCGCTGGCCGTTTCCTCGATCTCGATTGTATGCGCTTTTCACCTTGCGATTGCGACTCTGCCCCCCCCTTCCCTCCTTCGGCCCCACCTGGCGGCATCACTACCTAGCAACAGTACCGGCACCATCACCGGCCTATTTGGAGCATCCATCTCATTTTTCCACTCTGCCTTGCGCGGCCAGTGGTCCTGTCCTCATTTCCCCTGCTGTTGAGGTTTTGCACCATCTCACCTTGCCTGAAGTCGACTCGCCTCACTTCAGATCAATCACGTCTTGAATTGCTCTCGCTCTTCCCCCCCCCGCTGTCCATCCATCGTGCCAACGAACTCTGCTTTCCAACTGCCTCTGCTATTTTCCAATTGTTGCTCCAGCTGTCTTGGGCTGGTGTTTCTCCCTTCCTCCAGGCCACCCCCCCTGGTCTAGATTCCCTTTTAGCACATGGCCGCCGAGCTCCAGCGTTGCGCCACACCAGTTCCACTTTCGTCGACCTTACGTTGGGTGCCATTTTAGCACCACCAAACCACCCCCCCCCTAGGAGGACTGGCTTGGCCGCTCTCATCTTGGTTATCGGCTTGCAATTTCAGACACCCACGTCCTCCCGGTCCCGTTTCCAAATCCAAGTTCGACGTCATTGACTGGCCAGGTTGCTTCCTTCCTACGGCCGGCATCTGCTTTGTTCCATTTCGACCCAGAACCTGTCCAATCCCGGCATCTGTGCGCCAAACGAGCACTTTCCATTTACAACTCATTGACCCAGGCACCTTCCTGCACTCCTCCCGCAATAGGAGCCTCACGATCGTCAACAACAACGCGCAGAGCCTCAGACCACGGCGCCCTTCTTTACTTCGCTTGACGCGAAACACCCCTACCTCTTCCTGACTTTTGAGACAGTCGCCACGCAAGGTCGGACCACCTTCGTACCGTCAACTGGCTCCATCACTACTCGTTCCGAGCTCTGTGCTTCAACCTGAAGCCCGTGCTCCCCGTCG